GGCTCCGAGGGGCCGTTCCCATCCGTGGCGGTGCGCTCTGTACACACCCACATTCCGCTTCCGTCAGCTTCCTGCAGGTGCCAGCTGCAATTTGCAGTTGAGAGAATGGGCCCCGGGGGTACAAAGCCTGCCACATGGGAAAACCAGATGGGGCTGTTTGAATGTGGCCACTTTGCCAAGGGCAGAAATGTTAACAGAACGGCTCCGAGGGGCCGTTCCCATCCGTGGCGGTGCGCTCTGTACACACCCACATTCCGCTTCCGTCAGCTTCCTGCAGGTGCCAGCTGCAATTTGCAGTTGAGAGAATGGGCCCCGGGGGTACAAAGCCTGCCACATGGGAAAACCAGATGGGGCTGTTTGAATGTGGCCACTTTGCCAAGGGCAGAAATGTTAACAGAACAGCTCTCCTGTGTCTCTAGACGACCCAAACCATTTTCGGGTAACAAGGGGAGGGATGGACCCTGGTCTGCTAGAAGGGTAGGCTTCTGCCCCACCTCTGTATTCATAACCCTTCTCTCACAGCTGAGGTGAATTAGGGGTGGTTCCTCCTCTACAGGCCCTAGGAAGATTCCATTCACCTAATCTGGTGACTCAGAAGCTGCACTGCAACTTTCTGACTCATTTTATACAAGGATTTATGATTGGATTTAATTAGGGGCATCCTCTTCTGCTTTCTGTCCATCTTTTCTTTTGGTACTTTACTCTTTTTTTCCTCCTTCTCTCTGCCTTATCCCTGTTCTATTTTACTTCATTCCAACTAGACTAGAAGCTGCTTGTGAATTACAAGTATGCTACTGCTGTCCCTTGCTTGTTGCCAATACCCAGTGGTCAATTTCTTGGCCTTTTTGCCACTAATCAGATCGTACCTGCCTTGTATTTTCACTTCTTCTCAGTCTCTATTGAGAGATGCTGAGAGGAGAGACTGACTCCTCTTCCATCTGGCGTAAATCCAGGGGAAAGTGAAGGTGGTAAGGGAAGAGAAGAAGCCATAAGATAACCGTAAACACAGCAATAGCCTCCAAATTTTGGACATGAGGGGGTGTAATACAACAAACCCTCTGAATTTCCAATCACATCAAAATCAGAGTGAAGGCAGGGAATTTATAATTTCTCATACAAGAATATATATATATATGCAGAAGAGGGAACTACCATAATGTGAACAGGGCTTAATCTTTTGGCAGGGAGCATTTCTGGGGCCTATCAGAAGCAGCTTAAAGATCTATTAAGGCCACATGAGAAAAAACTGGAAAATTCTTGTCTTATGTTTATATTTCTCTCATTCTAATTCTTTAAGGCAGTGGTCCCCAACCTTTTGAGGTTGTCGGGCGCCCGGGGGCCTGG